ATCCCCATCATCTCCATCACCAACATCTCCATCCCCATCATCTCCATCACCACCATCACCATCTTCATCATCCCCATCATCTCCATCCCCATCATCTTCATCATCCCCATCATCTCCATCACCAACATCTCCATCCCCATCATCTCCATCACCACCATCACCATCTTCATCATCCCCATCATCTCCATCCCCATCATCTTCATCATCCCCATCATCTCCATCACCAACATCTCCATCCCCATCATCTCCATCACCACCATCACCATCTTCATCATCCCCATCATCTCCATCCCCATCATCTTCATCATCCCCATCATCTCCATCACCAACATCTCCATCCCCATCATCTCCATCACCACCATCACCATCTTCATCATCCCCATCATCTCCATCCCCATCATCTTCATCATCCCCATCATCTCCATCACCAACATCTCCATCTTCATCATCCCCATCATCTTCATCGCCTCCATCATCCCCATCATCACCATCAGCAGCAGCATCACCACCATCTTCAGCCCCATCTTCAGCCCCATCTTCAGCCCCATCTTCAGCCCCATCTTCAGCCCCATCTTCAGCCCCATCTTCAGCCCCATCTTCAGCCCCATCTTCAGCCCCATCTTCAGCCCCATCTTCAGCCCCATCTTCAGCCCCATCTTCAGCCCCATCTTCAGCCCCATCTTCAGCCCCATCTTCAGCCCCATCTTCAGCCCCATCTTCAGCCCCATCTTCAGCCCCATCTTCAGCCCCATCTTCAGCCCCATCTTCAGCCCCATCTTCAGCCCCATCTTCAGCCCCATCTTCAGCCCCATCTTCAGCCCCATCTTCAGCCCCATCTTCAGCCCCATCTTCAGCCCCATCTTCAGCCCCATCTTCAGCCCCATCTTCAGCCCCATCTTCAGCCCCATCTTCAGCCCCATCTTCAGCCCCATCTTCAGCCCCATCTTCAGCCCCATCTTCAGCCCCATCTTCAGCCCCATCTTCAGCCCCATCTTCAGCCCCATCTTCAGCCCCATCTTCAGCCCCATCTTCAGCCCCATCTTCAGCCCCATCTTCAGCCCCATCTTCAGCCCCATCTTCAGCCCCATCTTCAGCCCCATCTTCAGCCCCATCTTCAGCCCCATCTTCAGCCCCATCTTCAGCCCCATCTTCAGCCCCATCTTCAGCCCCATCTTCAGCCCCATCTTCAGCCCCATCTTCAGCCCCATCTTCAGCCCCATCTTCAGCCCCATCTTCAGCCCCATCTTCAGCCCCATCTTCAGCCCCATCTTCAGCCCCATCTTCAGCCCCATCTTCAGCCCCATCTTCAGCCCCATCTTCAGCCCCATCTTCAGCCCCATCTTCAGCCCCATCTTCAGCCCCATCTTCAGCCCCATCTTCAGCCCCATCTTCAGCCCCATCTTCAGCCCCATCTTCAGCCCCATCTTCAGCCCCATCTTCAGCCCCATCTTCAGCCCCATCTTCAGCCCCATCTTCAGCCCCATCTTCAGCCCCATCTTCAGCCCCATCTTCAGCCCCATCTTCAGCCCCATCTTCAGCCCCATCTTCAGCCCCATCTTCAGCCCCATCTTCAGCCCCATCTTCAGCCCCATCTTCAGCCCCATCTTCAGCCCCATCTTCAGCCCCATCTTCAGCCCCATCTTCAGCCCCATCTTCAGCCCCATCTTCAGCCCCATCTTCAGCCCCATCTTCAGCCCCATCTTCAGCCCCATCTTCAGCCCCATCTTCAGCCCCATCTTCAGCCCCATCTTCAGCCCCATCTTCAGCCCCATCTTCAGCCCCATCTTCAGCCCCATCTTCAGCCCCATCTTCAGCCCCATCTTCAGCCCCATCTTCAGCCCCATCTTCAGCCCCATCTTCAGCCCCATCTTCAGCCCCATCTTCAGCCCCATCTTCAGCCCCATCTTCAGCCCCATCTTCAGCCCCATCTTCAGCCCCATCTTCAGCCCCATCTTCAGCCCCATCTTCATCCCCATCATCTCCATCACCAACATCACCATCTCCATCATCCCCATCATCACCATCATCTTCATCATCACCAACATCTCCATCACCAACATCTCCATCTTCATCATCCCCATCATCTTCAGCCCCATCATCTTCATCATCACCATCATCAGCAGCATCCTCATCATCTTCATCATCACCACTATCATCCCCATCATCTCCATCATCGCCATCATCTTCATCATCCCCATCATCTCCATCACCAACATCACCATCTTCATCATCCCCATCATCTTCATCCCCATCATCATCACCACCATCGCCATCATCACCATCTTCATCATCCCCATCATCTTCATCCCCATCATCTTCATCATCCCCATCATCTTCATCATCCCCATCATCCCCATCATCTCCATCCCCATCATCTCCATCCCCATCATCTCCATCCCCAACATCTCCATCTTCATCCCCATCATCTTCATCACCATCATCTTCATCACCATCATCTTCACCACTATCTTCATCATCACCATCACCTTTGTTACCATCACTATCACCGTCATCTTCATCACCATCGTTTTCATCATCACCGTCATCTTCATCATCATCACCCCCATTGTGATCTTCATTCCCATCATCTTCATCACCCCCATCACCATCACCTTCACCACCATCATCGCCATCTTCACTGTCTTCATCACCATCTTCATCACCACCCTCATCATCCACCATCATCATCACCATCATCTTCACCACCATTACCTTCATCACCATCATCACCATCTCCATCATCACCATCATCTCCATCACCTTCACCACCATCATCACCATCTTCCCCGTCATCTTCATCACCATCATCATCATCCACCATCATCTTCACCACCATCACCTTCATCACCGTCATCCCCATCATCTCCACCACCTTCACCGCCATCTTCATCATCATCTTCACCACCATCATCATCATCCACCATCATCTTCACCACCATCATCATCATCACCACCATCTCCATCACCTTCATCACCATCTCCATCACCTTCATCACCATCTCCATCACCTTCATCACCATCTCCATCATCCCCATCATCTCCATCACCTTCACCACCATCATCACCATCTTCACCGTCCTTTT